ACTTAGCCTGAGTCCCAGTTCGAGCGAGGCCGAACTGTAATATGGCGATGGCGAAGGCACTTAGCCTGAGTCCCAGTTCGAGCGAGGTCGAACTGTCAATCTTTGATGGCGAAGGCACTTAGCCTGAGTCCCAGTTCGAGTGAGGTCGAACTGTCAATCTTTGATGGCGAAGGCACTTAGCCTTAAACTTAGTTCGAGCGAGGTCGAACTCTTCAAAATTTGATGGCGAAGGCACTTAGCCCTAAACTTAGTTCGAGCGAGGTCGAACTTGTCAAACTTTGATGGCGAAGGCACTTAGCCTTAAACTTAGATCGAGCGAGGTCGAACTTGTCGATCTTTGATGGCGAAGGCACTTAGCCTTAATCTTAGTTCGAGCGTGGTCGAACTGTCAATCTTTGATGGCGAAGGCACTTAGCCTTAGTCCCGGTTCGAACGAGGTCGAACCTGTCGATCTTTGATGGCGAAGGCACTTAGCCTTAAAGGGTTTCCTGGGGAGTCCCAGTTTGTTTAATTTTGCTTGTATTGGAGAATACGATGCATTTCCTGTTCGTGTATCTGGGAGAATGCTCCTGCTTCTATTCCATTTGGAAAAATAGTCAGTTAAACCAAATGAGATCGTTTACCTCGATTTGATCGGTCGGCGAGTGGAGAGGAGTGGCCATGTTCACTGCTCTGGTTATGCTTTTAGTGGCCGCTACCAATTTGGCAAGGCTGTTCGCTTTAGCAAAGTTTTATGTCTACGATTGGGTTTGCTGTTGTAGAGGCTATGAAGATATGTTGATAGTTCCGGGAATTATTGTTCCTAAAATCTGAACCACGAACATTGATCGAGGTGGGATCTTCATGTAGTGGCTGAGTTTGAAGTCACTGAGGAAAGAGACGGCCTGTGACATGCTCATGTACCCATAGACTTTGAGGCGCATATTTGCAGTTGGTCTTCCTGTATGCCATTAGGTGAGTTTTGAGCAGTGAGAACTCGGAGTTGTGACTCAGTTTCCGGTAGGGGCCGTGGCTGGAAAATCTTAACGGCAACAATTCTAGGAGCAACGGGCCCCACCCACTAAACACACAGCGATTCTCGACCGATCCAACTCGCCCTTCGTAAAACTCGCTGGGAATAACGACCCAGAATTAACAACAGTGGCCGTCCAACTGTTCATAAATGAGGAAATCTTTGAAGAGAAAGATATATAAACAATGAGAAACATAGGTGGAAGTATTAACAGTAACTTCTTCCCATGAAGATCCGAAATCCATATTGTAAACTGCTGTTGAATTTTGGAAGGATTTTTTAACATCATTTCTTTTTCTTCTTCCAAATATTGGGCGTCGCTCATCCTTTTAAGAAAAGAGTAAAGGTGACTTTTCAACTACTACTTAAGTTAAGCAGGGATATTTCGTATGCTTGAATCATGAAGGAAGCGTTGAATGGCTCTTGCAAGTCTCCTTTTAAGACCGCAACCTGAAACTTTTTAACCAAAAGGATTATGTAATTCTTGATCTAGAGGGATCTAAAATTTTAACTAGAAAATCCCCACAGACGACGCCAAATTGTTTGACTCAAAAGTTATTAAACACTTTTTAAGCAAATCAATCAATAAAGATGAAGGGGTAAATCCTAGTTAAAGATAATTAACTCTAGATCCGAGATGAGCAGGAGAAATAGGAAAACATAGTCAAATACAAATGTTGACAGCAATTATGATCAGGTTTAGTGGCATAAGTAAAGATGCATTAAGTAACAAAAATATGAATAAAGGAAAAGATTCACCCGATCTTCGGTGAGACGGATATTCTTTCATTTAATAAAGCTCAATGGTAGACAAATACAAGAACCTTATGACCCCTTTTTGGATCCGATGAAGGTATGGGATCACTGATCCTCTCAATTCTTTGGAGAGGTGTGTTTACATATTTTCTCCAAAGAGGGAGAGGGAGACAGAGAGAGAGCCCCCTTTTTGAGAAGTCCTCCCCTCCTATTTATAAGGGGGATATCCATAGAAAATCCTAAAAAAGGGTACAATTTAGAGGGAATATTCGGCAGAATATTCCTTTTGAGTATTCCAAAGCAAACTGGCTGTTTGATGACGGTCCGACCTTGGCCTGTCCGACCTCGGCTATTAATGACGGTCCGACCTTGGCTATCGATGACGGTTCGACCTTGGTTATTGATGACGGTCCGACCTTGGCTATTGATGACGGTCCGACCTTGGCCTGTCTGACCACGACCTTATGTCTCCGCGTGCCGAATTTCTCTAATCTAATTTTGACCCATACATCAGTCATATCCAAATCCTCCTCTCTTAATCCTTCTGGTAATGTGAAATTGAACTTGTGTACAAGCTTTGCCAATGCTAACTCAATCACAACAACAACAAAAGTTCTTCCCGGGCAGCCCCTTCTGCCTGCTCCGAAGGGAATCAATTCAAAGTTTACTCCTTTGACGTCAATATTACTATTCAAGAACCTCTCTGGCCGGTACTCCTCTGGATCATCCCACGACAACGGATTTCTTCTGATTGCCCAAGCATTAATTATGACTTGAGTTTTAGCAGGTATGTCATAGCATAGTAATTTTACATCTTCTCTTGATTCTCGAGGAAGTAGTAGCGGAAACGGTGGATGAAGTCTGAGACTCTCCTTGATCACTGCTTGCAGGTACTGCATATTTCCCAAGTCATCCTCTGTTATCTCCGATTTCCCTTGGGCTAATCCTTGCACTTCATTCTGTAATGTTTCGATAGCTCTTGGATGCCTCAAAAGCTCAGTCATTGTCCACTCTAGAGCTGGATATGTTGAATCCGTACCCGCAGCAAACACATCCTATGCATTAGCCAGAAACACAAAAGAAAAACAAAACAAGCCCGACCTTGTAAGTTAGTACTAACAATAGGGGATGATGAACGCAAAAAAGTACTTGGTGTTGTCTCACCACCATTTTCTTCTCGAATTGATGTTGCTATAGTAATTATTTTACACATAAAAGTAATACACATTTCAGTAAACCTGATCTGTCACCAAAGGGTGATAGATTGTTATGTTGAATTAAATAATGCATAATGACTAGCTATGTGGGAGTACGAGATGCTTACCAAGAGGATAACCTTCAATGAATCTCTTTGAATAGGAAAGCCTATTTCCTTTTCGTTCTGAATTTCAAGCAAAACGTCCACGAAGTCTTTGGCTTCACTCTCGTGGTATTCTTCTTTCTTGTTCCTAGTCATGTGTTCTTCAATCACCATCTCTAAAAATGCGTCCAACTCTTTAGCTACTTTCTCTACTCTGATGTCCAGGCCACTGATTTTATTGAGCCATTCAAGCCATGGAATATAATCCCCAATGCTAAAAACACCTAGAAGTTCAAGAAGTTGTTCCAGGGTGGCCTTAGCATTCATCCCACTTTCCCCTTCATTATATTTCCTCCCTAAGGCCACTCTACTAATTATGTTATTAGTCAGAGAACAAAATAGATCTCTCAAATCTATCACTGAACTCGAAGAATCACATCCTTGCCTGATTTTTGCAATGATGTTGGCGGTTTCTTTTTCTCTGACATCACGAAAAGATTGGACTCTTTTATTGTTGAGAAGGTGAAGCACAGTAATACTTCTTACTTGCCTCCAGTATTCACCAAAAGGACTAAAGCCTACATTCTTGGAGCCATAAAATAGTCTATCAACGATGCTGGATTTAGGTCTGCTTGACCAGACGAGATCGTGGGTTCTCATGATATCACGAGCAGCATGAACAGAGGAAGCAACAACCACTGGCTTACTGCCCAAGTGAAGTAGCATGACTGGACCATGTTTTTCTGATAGTTTATGGAGAGAGCGGTGAGGATGCGACCCAAGTTGATGCAAATTTCCAATGATTGGTAGCCCTTTTGGAGATGGTGGTAACTTATTTTGGCCTGTGTTTGAAGTAGTAAAGAGCCACTGATGAAGGAAGAAAATGAAAACAAGCAGAGGAATTAGAAGCGAATACCAGGGAAGATCCATTTTTTGTTGTAGCGAGGAGTACTGAGATATAATGAAATTAAGTCTTTGGTACTTAGAATTGAAGCTTCAAGTTAATAACACTGTTAGCTAACAGAAGCTGTTTTTATAACATATGCTAGTTGAATTGTTGATTCCACTGTGTTATAACAGCTACTAGTTGGATTAGACGCAAACTTGCAAGTTTGCACCATGTATACTTTGGGTTTCTTTAAATAATATAATTGGGATCTGTCATGTATTTTTCTTGATTTACGTGGTGAATTCTTTAACATTTCTTCAGCTAAGCTATTCACTAGTAATATTTTAGTGATTCTTGCTTGTTTTTCTTTCTTTTCTTTTCGTGCTTGTCATAACTTTTCAAATGTTGATGTTCTTTTGCTCTTGGTAGAGGGCTGGGATGAATTCTCACAAAGTATAAAGAATCAAGAAGAAACATCAAAATTTCTAGTTGATGGAGATACTTTCCAACTACAGTCCTATGCCACGATTACCATCTCTCTGTGCAGTTGTGCTCTATCCTTTTGAAAGTTCCTTCTGCAATAAATAGACAAACTTCCATACACACGTACTGTCATGGACGGCTTTTCAGCCATGCCCCATGACCCCTTGGGCGCGCCCTGTGGCGTCCTAGCAAGCCTCCCAATGCCTAGCGCCACAGATGGCCCCGTGGTCTTAGCCGCACCAAGTGACAAGCGCAGGTGCCTCTGTCGCCCCACCGATATCCTTCGCCAGCGCCAAGCCGCAGGCAGATGCCAACAGCGCCGCGCGCGCAGACAACGCCGCACGCGCAGACCGTGATGCCAAAGACACTGTTGCTGACAACGGACCTGCTGCTGCCTTATAGAAAACTAAGTCATTTTCATTGTAAATATAGAGTAGTTTTATTTCATGTACTTCCATTATGTTTCTCTAGCTTAGTCAAGTCTAGTTTTGTAGCTTTGGATTATTTTTTTAAGAATTATTAGGGGGGATGAAGCAATCAAAATTTCTAGCAAGCAAGAAATTCTCTGTACTGGTGTCTCTCCCCCTCGACACCGCGTTGCTTTTCTAAAATAGCTTTCATCAATGCAATCAAGCTTTCTTTCATTCTCAATTCTCATTTCTTTTCTCTCAATTGCTCTTGAGATTGGTTTTCCCGTACGGCACTGACAATCTAGTCTAGCGTACGGAGAGGACCTCAGTTGGCGGACAGCGGTTGCTTAGCCTTACGTCGCCCTTCCAAGGAATCTCAAGAAGGCGCCGCGTAACAGTTGGTATCAAAGCCTAGGCTCGACATCGGACGAGGGAACGTATTGGCATTACCACCATTTCTGACCATGGTGAATCATGGGGACCGCATTGCGGCTCTCGAAGGGGCGGTTGAGGTATTACGGCCTATTATGGATACGGTGCCTGAACTAAGAACCAGCCTAGTGCAAAGGTTGGACGACCTGGACCGCAGGGTGCTCCAGGCCGAAGTTGAGATTGAAAACATCAGTCGCGACTCCGAGGGAGACCAACAAACGGCTGCCACAGAGGCGGCCGAATTTTTTGAGAAATTTGAGGGGCTCCAACAGGAGCGCACCGAGGATTTAGCCCACAGGGCACAAGAGGCAGACAGGGTGACTGCCATGCAACAAACTATTGATAAATTGATAGACCAGCTCAATATTGTCAACGCTGCGTTACAGTGCCTACTCTGAGGAGGTGGAAACCAAATCGGGGGCGCTGTGAACCCCGCTTCCGCGACACAGAAACTGAAAATTCCTGAGCCAAAGCCATACAGTGGAGCTATGAATGCCAAGGAAGTGGAGAACTTCATCTTTGACGTCGAATAATATTTCGATGTTGTTGGGGGCCTAGAGGAAGCTAAGAAGGTAGCAACTGCTGCCATGTATCTTCAGGGAGATGCTAAACTCTGGTGGCGGGTAAAGTACGAAGCCATCAAGGCCGGCGAAGATACTCTCGAGACATGGGCAGAAGTGAAGGCAGCCATACGCCTACAGTTCTTCCCCGAAAATGTTGAATACAATGCAAGGAGAAAACTACGGGAGCTCTGTCAGAGAAAATCAGTGCGGGACTACGTGAGGGAATTCTTCGCTCTCATGCTAAGCATACGCGACATGGGGGACAAAGACAAGCTCTTCACCTTCCTGGAAGGGTTGAAACCTTATGCCCGTGTGGAGCTACAATGACAGAGGGTAGATACCCTTCCTAAGGCGATCCAAGCAGCCGAATGCCTTGTGGACTATCAAATGGAAGCTCGAAAGGACACGCCTCAGCCGCCTGCCCGAGTGGGATTCAAAGGGGGCCAGCCTAGCAATGGTGGCCCTAGCAAAAGTGGGGGAGGTCGGAAGTCAAACAAATCTAGAGCTCCTTCCTCCGGCAGCAACAATGGTGCGTCAAACAACAATGACCGGGGGGAGAAAGCCTCCTTCAGGATGCCGTCATTGCAGCAGGCCACATTGGAACAATGAGTGCCCACATGCACAGATGAACGCCCATCAGGCTATTGATGATAGGACTGATGATGACTCAGACGATGCGGACCAGACTGAACCACCGGCTCCTAATTCTACTATGCGAACCCGAAAAAGTGAATGNTTCGACTTATCGAAATGTTAACCCGTTGTCGTTCGATCGAGGTTGAACTCTTCTTTTTTGGCGAAGGCCCCTGGCCTTAAAGGTTGTTATTTCGACTTATCGAAATGTTAACCCGTCGTCGTTCGATCGAGGTCGAACTCTTCTTTTTTGGCGAAGGCACATAGCCTGAGTCCCAGTTCGAACGAGGTCGAACTGTTAAACTTTGATGGCGAAGGCACATAGCCTAAATCCCAGTTCGACCGAGGTCGAACTGTTAATCTTTGATGGCGAAGGCACATAGCCTGAGTCCTAGTTCGAACGAGGTCGAACTGTTAATCTTTGATGGCGAAGGCACTTAACCTTAATCCCAGTTCGAATGAGGTCGAACTGTCAAACTTTGATGGCGAAGGCACTTAGCCTGAGTCCCAGTTCGAGCGAGGTCGAGCTGTCAATCTGTGATGGCGAAGGCACTTAGCCTGAGTCCCAGTTCGAGCAAGGTCGAACTGTCAATCTTTGATGGCGAAGGCACTTAGCCTTAAACTTAGTTCGAGCGAGGTTGAACTTTTCAAACTTTGATGGCGAAGGCACTTAGCCTGAGTCCCAGTTCGAGCGAGGTCGAACTTGTCAAACATTGATGGAGAAGGCACTTAGCCTGAGTCCTAGTTCCAGCTAGGTCGAACTGTCAATCTTTGATGGCGAAGGCACTTAGCCAGAGTCCCAGTTCGAACGAGGTCGAACTGTTAATCTTTGATGGTGAAGGCACTTAGCCTTAAACTTAGTTCGAGCGAGGTCGAACTTGTCAAACTTTGATGGCGAAGGCACTTAGCCTGAGTCCCAGTTCGAGCGAGGTCGAACTGTCAATCTCTGATGGCGAAGGCACTTAGCCTTAAACTTAGTTTGAGCGAGGTCGAACTTGTCAAACTTTGATGGCGAAGGCACTTAGCCTGAGTCCCAGTGCGAGCGAGGTCGAACTGTCAATCTTTGATGGCGAAGGCACTTAGCCTTAAACTTAGTTCGAACGAGGTCGAACCTGTCCATCTTTGATGGCGAAGGCACTTAGCCTGTAACTCAGTTTACTCAATTTTGCTTGCATTGGAGAATATGATCTATTTCCTCGGGGAGTCCCAGCTTGCTTAATTTTGCTTGCATTGGAGAATATGATGTATTTCCTCGGGGAGTCCCAACTTGCTTAATTTTGCTTGCATTGGAGAATATGATGCGTTTCCTGGGGGAGTCCCAGTTTGTTTAATTTTGCTTGTATTGGAGAATATGATGCGTTTCCTAGGGGAGTCCCAGTTTGTTTAATTTTGCTTGTATTGGAGAATATGATACGTTTCCTGGGGGAGTGCCAGTTTGTTTAATTTTGCTTGTATTGGAGAATATGATGCATTTCCTATTCGTGTATCTGGGAGAATGCTCCTATTTCTATTCTATTTAGAGAAACAGTCAGTTAAACCAAGTGAAATTGTTCGTTACCTCGATTTGATCGGTCGACGAGTGGAGAGGAGTGGCCACGTTCACTCCTATGGTTATGCTTTTAGTGGCCGCTACCAGTTTTGCAAGGCTGTCTGCTTTAGCAAAGTTTTATGTCTACGATTGGGTTTGCTGTTGTAGAGGCTATGAAGATATGTTGATAGTTCCGGAAATTAGTGTTCCTAAAATCTGAACCACGAACATTGATCGAGGTGGGATCTTCATGTAGTGGCTGAGTTTGAAGTCACTGAGGAAAGAGACGGCCTGTGACATGCTCATGTACCCATAGACTTTGAGGCACATATTTGTTGTTGGTCTTCCTGTATGCCACTAGGTGAGTTTTGAGCAGTGAGAACTCGGAGTTCTGACTCAGTTTCCGGTATGGGCTGTGGCCGGAAAATCTTAACGGCAACAATTCTAGGAGCAGCGGGCCCCACCAACTGAACACACAGCGATTCACGACCGATCGAACTCGCCCTTCGTAAAACTCGCCGGAAATAACGACCCAGAATTACTAACTGTGGCAGTCCAACTGTTCATAAATGAGGAAATCTTTAAAGAGAAAGATATATAAACAATGAGAAACATAGGTGGAAGTATTAACAGTAACTTCTTCCCATGAAGATCCGAAATCCATATTGTAAACTGCTGTTGAATTTTGGAAGGATTTTTTAACATCATTTCTTTTTCTTCTTCAAAATATTGAGCGTCGCTCATCCTTTTAAGAAAAGAGTAAAGGTGACTTTTCAACTACTACTTAAGTTAAGCAGGGATATTTCGTATGCTTGAATCATGAAGGAAGCGTTGAATGGCTCTTGCAAGTCTCCTTTTAAGACCGCAACCTGAAACTTTTTAACCAAAAGGATTATGTAAATACAAGAACCATTGGACCCTTTTTGGAGCTGATGAAGGTTTTGGATCACAGATCCTCTTCTCTCTTTTGAGAGATGTGTTTACATATTTTC